GAGTCTAGTAAACATAATGTTCCTCATGTAACTGTGGAGTAATGATACCAAAATAATAAAAAAATAAAAAGTAAAAAAAGAAAGTTGTAGGTTTCTTGTGAAAAAGGAATTTAATGTGTGGTTAATCTCTGTGAGAGTGAAGTAAATGAAGTTTTAATGCCACAAGATTAGAATTCTGTTTTCTGTTAAAAGGACAAAGTTTCCTTGATTATTGGTCTACTCTCAAAATATCAATAGATTATAAAGTTTTCCCAGTTGTTTTATCAGAATAATCTATTGTGCTTCATGTTGTCTGAATCAAATCTTTGATACTTAAGGAAACAAAAATCTTAACATTAAAAGAGAAAAGTTTTGCCCAGCTCGATGAATAAGTACTGATTTCATTATAATCTGTGATCTTACTTAGTACAAACCTTTTGATATCGTTGAAAACTTCACAAAATCAAATTCTAAAAGTCCTTTTTAGCTCTAGTTAACTTGAGATTTTCCTCAGGGGCCCTGGAATATATCTCAGAATTTTCTTACAAAAGAGAGATTTTAACAAAATTAAGCTTATCTATTTGTTACCTCAAATTATATGGGAAACATTGTCAATTAAATGATGCTAAATTTTGGATTATATTTATATAGAAATATGTTATTAAAATGTGTTCTAGAAATTATATGAAGCTCCTAGAAATCTGTTTATGCCCTGGTATGTTACCACTTACAATTATAGTTACTGAAATGTTATATAATAAGGAAATAACCATATTTGCTGGTCAATTGATGATAAACTCCTATCAGATCTTTAACCAGTGTCAGTGTTAAGTCTTTTGTCATTTACAGTTACTATTTTACTCCAGATGTACAGGCATTGCAGGCAAAATCTGAGGGCAAGTCCTTGGCTGGCTTTCCTGGCCTTTAGAGGCCTTTGAAAGTTCAATCTGAAATTCCTTAGAAGAGTTCCAGCAAAGGCCATTTAACAGAGCCTGTATGATCATATTGCTATTCTTGCTGCACTTATATAAACAGTAGACCAAGTGTTTTGAAGCTAAACATCAATATGTACAAAGTCGTCTTAACATGGCTACCTGTAATAAATATGTGGGTGATATTAAAGGGAAAAATTATGTCTCAATAATACACCTTTATGGATTATCAGTCTAATACTGCTCACTGTGAACTGGACTGGATCCTGAATTCTAGTTTCCTCCAATGTCTAGCTCTTACTCTCCAAGCTAATGTTTTCAATTTTTCTCCCATCTTTGTGACTTGGAATCATTGAGAACTAAAACTGCCCTTTTTCCTGAAGCTGTGGAAAGTGAAGGTGAATGTCTTGTTATGAAGTTTAGAAGAATCTCTGCAACAGCCTGTGTGTAGACAATCTTCCTGCCTGCTGCTGTTCGGGCCATTCAAAACCATCACCAGAGATACTTGAACCACAAACCAGGACTACTGCCCGATCACCACTACCTGTGCTCAGTGTCTGAAGATGCTTCAAGCCTGTCATCCAGAAATCTCACTGGCCGTGTCAAGGACTCAGACACTGGGCTCATCATTTGCTCTAAACATTAACCTTTTTCTTTTGTTTCCATAGAAATCTCTCTTACTTAATACCTGATTACTTGAACCATAAGCCTAATTTAGGGAACATGCCTGCATCATCGTTCAACTGCACTGACCTATTCAATTCAATGAGTTTGAACATCTGTCACCTCGATTTTTAATACAAAACTGCCAGGGAAGCTTCAGAGAAGGGAACTCCTGGGACCAAGGGCAGGCCACCCCAGGATGTGCGACTGGGACATGCAGATCATTGAGCTGAAAAACACCAAGGCCCAAAAAGACTCAGAAAGAAACTTTGACCTCCCACTTCCCAAACTGCGTAAAAAGAATTTAGATAGAGTCTAGCACCTTAGATAACAATATTATAATATAAACTAGGTGGGGTAGACAGGGAGGGAAGTGGCCCGATCTGTTAAAATTCCTCTCTGTGCACCCCGCCCCCCACAATGTGGCCCATCATACATTTGTTTATCAAGCATTTACTTCTCATATTCCTGTGAATTACATTCCTTTTCCTTTGGAGTCTCATGCCCCTGCCCCCCTTCTCCTTGGTTACGGATGACCCACACACACCTCATTCTTTCTCCCTGTCTTTGGAACTCACGTCTAGGGCTTCCCTGTTCTTAAACACATGATTAATTTTTTTTCTCCTGTTAATCTCAGGTCAATATGATTGTTAGACCAGCTAGAAGAACCTCGAGGGATGGAGGAAATTTCTTTCTCCCCAAAACCAGATCCAGTGAATAATGCATTATGCATAATGGTTCTGCTCCCTAGAGCAAGTCCCCTAACTCATCTGGGCAGCAAGCTCGCAAAGGCCAGCTGGGATAGAAATCTGAGAGAGGTGCAGCCCCAGGGAGGGCCAAGAGCCACCAGCCTTGGTGTCTCCTGGGCCAAATTAGGAAATCAGTTTCAGGCCTCATCCAGACACGCCCCCCCCCATCATAATTTGCATTTGAAAGAGCACCCCAAGTGATATGCCCACATTTTGAAGTCTGATACCCCAAAAACAAACAAACAAAAAAAGGTGATTCCAGGACACTGTGACATGATGTCTAGGGAACTAAACTATTATCCCTCCCATGGCTAAGCTAACAAGTGCACGCACTGCTTGTTCAGTTAGCTCTGCTATAGCTCTCTGTTGTCAGTGCTTACTCAGTGAATGTTCCTACCTCTGACTTGGCTACCAATGGTTTACTTTAAAGATGAGATTCAGTTCAGATTAAGACACCCTTAAATCAACCATCTGGAATAAAGCTGTCTCTGCAGGAAGTTTAGCCTGGCTCACCGAACACATAGCTGCCTACCTAGGATTTTAGGCACCACTGGTACAAGAGGAAAAGATTTCCAGTCTCATCTCATGTGGAAACTGGTGCTTCTAGTTTTTTCAACAATAGACTTGGCTTCGCACACAAAACGGCACGAACCTGAAAATAAAGCAATCAGGGATTTAAGTGGGGCTGGCTGGCTCCTTTTAGTAATCTTAAACTAAGCAGTGCAAAGATCTCAGTGCTAGATTTCAGAAACAGCACTTAGGTAGCCAGGAAGTTGTTAGTAATGAATGATTCAACTCCTGGAGGTTGCACTGGAGAAAAAAAAAGCTTTTGTGGGTATACTGAAACTCATCTTCAAATTGTAAGTGTAAATAAGATATATATACACTGTACTTCAACTTAATGGGATTAATGGGTACCAAATATTCAATCTATAGTTCCCTATGTCCAGGGTGAGGTTGTGAAGGAATACAGCAATATAAGGTATATAGAGAGAATCCTCTGGCTTCTAGGAGAGCAAGTCTAGAGTGACCTCAACTTTCACATCAAAAGTAAGTAAAAAAAAACCACCCCAAATCCTATTTATACATGAAGAAATATAAATGAGTTAGTCTGGTAATTTCATTCCATAAAAGCTTCTAAAGCTGCTGGTATTGGCATGGCTCTACCTTTATTTTATGAGCCTCATTCAAACACAGCCAGAAATATATTGATCTCCTGAGCATTTGCTTGAAAATTACACAGCAGGAAAAAGAAAAATGTGATTAGATTTGTGTAAAGGTCACCGGCACTTCTGAATATGGTTGTTCCAAGGTGTTAAATCGTTTCTGAACCTCTATTTGCTGACTGAGTTCTTGTTTGTTACTGTCCGGGCGAAAACGATGCGAAGTCACCCTGTTCTCCGTCTTCTTCTGCTAAAACTTATGTAGGACCAGCCTGGCACTCCGCAAGAGGACCCCAATCCCTCTGGGGAGGTAAACTATAGGAAGAGACCGAACCCAACCTGAGCTAACTGTCCGAGGAATCTGGTTAGGCCACAGGAAAGGAAAGGTCGCCCTCCAAACCAGTTACACGAACGTGTCCTTTGTTCCGACTCCCAACGAGACGCTTCCAGCGACAAGGCAACAGACAAGTTCAAGATTGGGCCGCGGTGGGGCCAGTTCTTGTCCAGATGTAGCCCGGCCCGAGCGCGCCGGGGGCGCCGTCTACAGGTCGGAGTCGCAGGGCAGCGAACCGCGGCAGGTGCCGGTGCTGCTCAAGGAGGCGCCGCTGGAGTTGGTCGCCCTCTCCCCGTGGAGCACGTCCGCCGGGTTGGCGTAGGCGTTGGACGGCGGCCGCGGCATGGGGAAGCCGGCCCTGGGCTTGCGGGCGGCCACGAGCTCGGCGGGCCGCGGCTGGTGCTGGCCGTCGCTGTAGTACTTGATGGCGGGCGGCAGCGCGGGCTCGGGCCAGTCGACCTGCAAGGTGCTGACGCTGCTGCGGCGCGGGCAGCGCGGGGACGTCTTGCGGCGGCGGCGACAGCGCTCCTCGCACCAGGGCGCGAAGCTGAGCGCCAGCGAGAAGCCGCCCAGCAGCAGCAGGCAGCTGCCCAGGTAGCCCAGCACCAGGCTGTAGCCGACCTGCACCGTGACGGGGCTGGCCGGCGCGGGCAGGACAGCGCGGTCGTCCAAGAAGTGGTTGTACCAGGAGACCGGGATGAGGCTGAGGAGGCCCGAGGTGAAGAGCACCAAGCCCGAGAGGCCGGCCAGCGCGAAGTGGGGCTCGTCCTGCCAGCAGCGCACGCCTAGCGACGCCAGCAGCAGCCCCAGGGCCGTGGTGGCCAGCGACGTGACCATGAGCGCTCGCGCCACGTGCACCGGCTCGGCCGTGAAGTAGCCCAGCTCGTCCGGCTGGCCGCACTCGCGCTCGCGGCTGCTCTGCTCGCGGCACATGTCCCACAGGCCCTGGTACAGCACCACGTCCACCGGCTGGTTGAGGAAGCCCTGCACCATCCTCCAGCCGGGCGTCAGCGTGCCCGTCAGGTTGAGCAGCAGCCCGCAGGGCGTGAGCACCAAGCCCAGCGTCATCACCACCGGCGTCCGCATCCCGCGCACCTGCCGGGCGGTCTCAGGCCCTCGCGCGCCTCGGGCTCCGTCCGGCACCGCTAAGTCAGCGCGCGCGCCGCCGCGGCTGGGGTCCTGCGCGCCGCTCCCCGTCGCCGGCGCAGGACCGTCCCCACTGCGCGGCTCGCCCAGCTGCCTGTTCGCGTCCCGGCTGCTCCGCGCCCCCCGCCGGGCGGCCGTCCCCAATCGAAACCAGCTCGCGGGCGTGTCTGACCGAAACCACGGGCCGGGTGCAGGCGTCCAGGGTCGGCCGCGCAGCAAACCTGCCCCGGTGGGCGGGGCGGGAGGCGCGAGCAGGGAGCGGCGCGGCGCGGGTGCTCGGGGGGCTACGGGCTCCGGCGGCGCCGATACTCCGCGCCGCAACCCCGCGGCTCCCGGCCGAGCAAAGGTCGCCCCGCCCCCGGCTCCTGGGCAAGGGAAGAGGCGGTGCCGCCCGGACGGCCGCGCCCCGCTCCAGGCGGCGCCGCTTCCCAGCGTTCGGCGGATCTTGGTTGCCACAGTTTTTGTCCAGTCCCTGCCCGTCGGCCCTGAGGATGTGGCCTCTCTTCCCTCCACAGCCAGCGGGGATCCGATGGCACCTCGAAGTTCTGTGCTGTGGATTCGCAGCCACTTGCGGCCGAGGGGGCGGCGCCAGCGCCCCGCGCCGAGAGATGCGGCAGGTGTAGCCGGAGGGCCCGCCCCGCGACCGAGAGTGTCCCCCAGTGTGGCCCATGTTCCATTTAATAATCCCTTTCAGTGTGTTTAGCAAGGCTGCGTACTCCGGATTAAGCTTGACTCGAAAGAATCAAAGCGAGTGTGTATCTGGAGTGAGGCGTCACAGGGCATTTTATTTTCTTCTTTTTAACTTTGGGAAAGATTTTGAAGAGGACAAAAATGGGAGTGGTGTTACTGGCTGGCCTGCCTAGCACACTTTTCAGGTTTATCTAAGTATATAGGGTCCTGTGACCTTACAGTCTTTGAGCTATTTCTATAAACTGTAGAAAACTTGTAGCATTGCAAGTAACTCTTGTCCACAGGAACGCAAATGAGTTGCCAGTTGAATGTAAATGATCATCGCCTAATGGATACTGACCAGTTTGACATTGATTTGTAAATAAATTTTACCATGCCTGTTCGCCTAAATGGTGTATGTGTTCCTTGCATCTCTGAACAGCTTGTAACATCATACTGTTTCTTTAATTAATAATGTTAAATAAAATATTTGACAAATGTTCATGTTATGTTTGTGTAAGAGTCATGATTTTACTTTTTTTCTAAAAATTATCCTTGAACAATATTTTTCTCATTTTCCGTATCTCTTACAATGGAAGTCTATTGCCTTTATAGGTGGTTAAAATGAAAACAACTTCTAAAAGTCAAAGTTAATTAAGCATTGGTTTGAAATAATTTTGAACATTCTAGAGTGGACAATATTAAGTATAAGAATCAGTATGTTTGTTCTTTGAAATTTTTTTAATTTAAAAAAAATCGTAATATACACCTAATGCAGAACTTAGCATCTCAACCATTTTTAAGTGTGCAGCCCACTGTCATTAAGTACATCCACATTGTGCTACCATCACCACCATCCATCTCCAGAACTTTTTCATCTTCCCAAACTGAAACTCTACCCATTTTACCAATAACTTCCCATTCCACTACCACACTTACGCCTCCAACTCCTGGCCCCAATACTTTCTGTCTGTGAATTTGAGAAGTCTACATACTTCATGTAAGGGGAATCATGGTATTTATGCCTGCCTTATTGCACTTAGCATAATGTCCTCAAAGCTCATCCATTTGTAGCAAATCAGCCAAAGGGAGAAATAAAGTCTAAAGTTTGAAGTTTGTATTGAAGATTAAAAATGGCAGTGGGAAAGGTGAGACAGAGACCTCCCCCTAAAACCACGTATAATATGAAAATATAACTAATACAACTAATCCTGAAAGAGCAACAGGAAAGAAGGCTACGCCAGATTGCATATACCTGGAGAAAAGAAGAGACCTCACAGAACAGGGTAATGTACCAAAGCCATGACCCAGCAGGACCCAAGCCCTTCCCTACCCCAGCTCACTGGCGGGAGGAAGAGAAATAGAACACGAAGGGAGTGGAGGCCTGGGACTGCTGAGCACATAGCCCTGGAGATCTGCTCTGGGAGCATGAACCCTCATTGCATGGTGCTCTGGTGATTAGTGGGGTTGGAAAGCTAAGACAGGCAGAATACCTGGAGAGACTGAGATTCCAGCTGCTTGTGAAAAACGGGGATCCATATCCAGCTGCTCTGGGTAGGCAGTCTAAGAGACATCCTAAAAGCAAGGGGGCTGCTAAAGGGGCAAGGACTGCACAGAGCTTACTGCTCGGAAGAAAGGAGAGGTAGATAAAATTGTCCAGGTGTACTCTGCCAAGCAGGTTGGGAACTTTCAGGATTTTCCAGCACTCCATTCCCCTGGCTGTCTATGCAGCTCCAAGGCCCCCCCATAGTGCTTTGCAGCCTGCGGTGCCTTCCTTCCAGCCAGCCCACACCTGTCTTGGAAACCAGCAAACCCTGTCCTGGTGTCAGGCCAGCCAGAGGGAAGTTCTGTCTATGGCAGCTACAAACACAAAGCAGGTTACACCTGTGTGTTCAGCCCACTGGTTCTGGCAGTGGAGATAGGCATAACAGCCAGGAAATAGGAAACAGCTCTTTCCTCCCCCCAGGCACCAGCACCACTCTCCTGCAACCCCTGACACCACTCCAGGGGCTGAGCAGCTCCAGAGAGTAGAGATTCTGGGCATTACAGGGTGCCACATACAAATATGAAGTGTCAAAGGAACCTGGTTCAAAGCAAAATCTCAACACCACAGAAAAGAGTGAGTGAGATTGAATTAATAAATCTTCCTGAAAACAATTTCAAAATAAAAATCATAAACACACTCATGGAGGTACAGAAAAATATTCAAGAACTCAGGAACAAATTTAGGACGTTGATCCAACAGTTGAAGAGCACAATGGAGGGTATTAAAAGTAGATTAGATATGGTGGAGGAAATGATAAATGAAATAGAAACTAGGGAAGAGGAATACAAAGAAGCTGAGGCAGAGAGATAAAAGATCTCTAGGAACAAAGGAATACTGAGAGAACTGTGTGACCAGTCCAAACAGAACAACATTCATGTTATGGGGTACCAGAAGAAGAATAGAGAGAAAAAGGGATAGAAAGTGTCTTTGAGAATTAATTGCTTAAAACTTCCCCAATCTGAGGAAGGAGATAGTCTCTCAGGCCATGGAGGTGCACAGATCTCCTAACACAAGGGACCCAAGGAGGACAACACCAAGACATATAATAATGAAAATGACAGAGATTAAGGATAAGGACAGACTATTAAAAGCAGCCAGAGAGAGAAATAAGATCACATACAAAGGAAAAACCATCAGGCTATCACCAGACTTCTCAACAGAAACCTTACAGGGCAGAAGGGAGTGACATGATGTAGTTAATGCAATGAAGCAGAAGGGCCTCCAACCAAGAATACTCTATCCGGCAAGATTATCATTTAACTTTGAAGGAGGGATTAAACAATTTCCAGATAAGCCAAAACTAAGATAATTTACTTCCCCAAACCATCTCTACAGTGTATTTTGGAGGGACTGCTATAAATGGAAGTATACCTAAGAATATGATACCTAATATATAAAGAATGGAAGAGGAAGAAAAAGGAGGAGAAAAAAAATAGAACCTTTAGATTTTGTTTGTAATAGCATACGAAGTGAGTAAAATTAGACTCTTAGATAGTAAGGAAGTTACCCTTGAACCTTTGGTAACCAAGAATCTAAAGCCTGCAATGGCAATAAGTACATACCGATCAATAATCACCCTAAATGTAAATGGTCTGAATGCACCAATCAAAAGACACAGAGTCACTGAATGGATAAAAAAACAAGACCCATCTATATGCTGCCTACAAGAGACTCACTTGAACACAAAGACATACACAGACTTAAAGTGAAGATGGAAAAAGATATTTCTTGCAACTAATAAGGAGAAAAAATTGGGAGACAAAGGAGACAAAATAGACTTTAAAACAAAGAAAGTCATAAAAGACAAAGAAGGACATTACGTAATGATAAAGGGGTCAATTTAGCAAGAGGATATAACCATTATAAATATCTATGCACCCAATACAGGAGCACCTACATATGTGAAACAAATACTAACAGAATTAAAAGGGGAAATAGAATGCACTGCATTCATTTTGCAAGACTTCAATACACCATTGACTCCAAAGGACAGATCAACCAGACAGAAAATCAGTAAGGAGACATAGGCACTGAACAACACATTAGAACAGATGAACCAAACAGACATCTACAGAGCTCTCCACCCAAAAGCAGCAGGATACACATTCTTCTCAAGTGCACATGGAACATGCCAAGATTAGATCAAATACTAGGCCACAAAAAGAGCCTCAGTAGATTCAAAAAGATTGAAATTGTACCAACCGGCTTCTCAGACCACAAAGGTATGAAACTAGAAATAAATTATGCAAAGAAAATGAAAAAGCCCATAAACACATGGAGGCTTCACAACATGCTCCTAAATAACTAATGGGTCAATGATCAAATTAAAACAGAGATCAGGCAATATATGGAGACAAATGACAACAATAACTCAACACCGCAAAGTCTGTGGGACGCAGCGAAGTCTGCACAAAGAGGGAACTCTATTGCAATACAGGCTTACCTTAGGAAAGAAGAACAATCCCAAATGAACAGTCTAAATGCACAATTAATGAAACTACACAAAGAAGAACAAATGAGACCCAAAGTCAGTAGAAGGAGGGACATAATAAAGATTAGAGCAGAAATAAATAAAACCGAGAATAAAGCAACAGAAAGAATCAATGAAAGCAGGAGCCCATTGAGAAAATAAACAAAATAGATAAACCCCTAGCCAAACTTATCAAGAAAAAAAGAGTCTACACACATAAACACAATCAGAAATGAGAAAGGAAAAATCACTATGGACACCACAGAAATACAAAGAATCATGAGAGAATACTATGAAAAATTATATACTGACAAACTGGATAACCTAGAAGAAATGGACAACTTTCTACCAAAATACAACCTTCCAAGGCTGACCCAGAAAGAAACAGAAAATCTGAATAGACCAATTACTAGCAATGAAATTGAATGGATCAAAGACCTGAATGTAAGTCATGAAACCATAAAACTCTTAGAAAAACACAGGCAAAAATCTCTTGGACATAAACATAAGTGGCTTCTTTGTGAACATATCTCCCCAGGCAAGGAAAAAACAAAAGCAAGAATGAACAAGTGGGACTATATCAAGCTGACAAGCTTCTGTACAGCAAAGGATACCACCAATAGAACAAAAAGACATCCTACAGTATGGGAGAATATATTCACAAATGACAGATCCGATAAAGGCTTGACATCCAAAATATATAAAGAGCTCATGCACCTCAGCAAACAAAAAGCGAACAATCCAATTAAAAAATGGGCAGAGTAGTTGAACAGACAGTTCTCCAAAAAAAAAATTCAGATGGCCAACAGACACATGAAAAAATACTCCACATCACTACTACTCAGAGAAATGCAAATTCAAACCACAAGGGGTTATCACCTCACACCAGTAAGGATCACCACCATCCAAAAGACAAACAACAACAAATGTTGGCGAGGTTGTGGAGAAAGGGGAACCCTCCTACACTGCAGGTGGGAATGTAAGCTAGTTTAACCATTGTGGAAAGCAATATGGAGGTTCCTCAAAAAACTAAAAATAGAAATATAATTTTACCTGGGAATTCCACTCTTAGGAATTTATACAAAGAATATAACTTCTCAGATTCAAAAAGACATATGCACCACTATGTTTATTGCAGCACTATTTACAATAGCTAAGATATGGAAGCAACCTAAGTGTCCATCAGTAGATGAACAGATAAAGAAGATGTGGTACATATACAGAATGGAATACTATTCAGCCATAAGAAAGAAACAAATCCTACCATTTGCAACAACATGGATGGAGCTGGAGGATATTATGCTCAGTGAAATAAGCCAAGTGGAGAAAGACAAGTATCAAATGACTTCCCTCATTTGTGGAGTATAAGAATGAAGCACAACTGAAGGAACAGAACAGCAACAGACTCAGACTTTAAGAAAGGACTAGCAGCAACCAAAGGGGAAGGGGAGGGGAGGGCTGGTAGGGAGGAGGGAAAAGGGGACTGAGGGGTATTATGATTGGCACACATGGTGTGGGGGGGAGCCGGGGGAAGACAGTGTAGCACAGAGAAGGCAAATAGTGACTCTGTGGCATCTTACTACACTGATGGGCAGTGACAGCAATGGGGTATGGGGGGGACATGATAACATCGGTGAATGTAGTAACTACATTGTTTTTTTCATGTGAAACCTTCATAAGAGTGTATATCAATAATACCTTAATAATAATAAAATAAAAATATCACCAGTGTATGAAGGACCTTTAAAGGCCCCGTGCCAGACCCTGTCCTAAGCACTGCGTGTGTATGAACTCATCTGTTCCTCATAACCCTGCAAAGGGGAAACTATTATAATAAGCTGAAGGAACTGACACACAGAGTGGTTAAGTAGCTTTTGGGGATTTGAACCCAGGCAGCTTCTCTAACACTGAAACAAGTAAGTTACAGGGCATTTACAGCAGCACCACTTCTGTCATGTTTATGTCTTAATCTACCAGATCCAGATGTTTCCCCGGACTTACAGGTATTGTCCATTCCATCCAGTCTAAAGGTAGTACTCTCTAGCCCCAAAGAACTGATTACAGAATAGGATCTGTAATTCATTTCTGGAAACACTGGAACCGGTTTTCTGATATTTCTACAAGAAAACACCCAGATCTGCTGAAATAAAGATAATAAAGTTCCTTTAAATGCTTGAGTGAGTGACTAAGTAAGTATAAGGAATATCCTGGGAACAAATGTGAAGAGGAATCAGAAGCCTGGGAGGTTAGTTGGCACTGACCCTATGGGCACCTTGGGGCCTTTTGATGGTCAAGATGGATTTAACATGTGCATGAGGGCTTTAGGCCAACGTGAAGTGAGAAGTTAGAACAAACGTCTCCAGATAAACCCAAGACCTGGAAGGCTAGACATCCAGAAAGACATGGATGGAAACAAATAAGCCTTCATGTAAAAAACTGTGGCAAGGAGACTTGTCTTCACCGTAGCTCTAGATTGTAGGGAAAAATAGTCTCCCCCGAGAATTTGTGACCATAGGCCTGCCTTTTCAGTCTGGGTTTTGAATTCACATTACCTTTAGCAGGAAACCCAAGCTGAGAAATAAACAAAGTTGTCCCAGGGTACTTGGTAAAAAAAGACACAAAAAACAAAAAAGAAAGAAACAAAAAAACCCCACACAAGTATTCCCTGCACACAAACATCATCAACACAGGCCCCACAAGACTCCTAGAGATGAAATCCTGCTGATTCTGAATACATAATCCAACTACATATATGAGCACCAGTCAGCAGTAAAAACAACAGGGTTCTTAATAAATAACAGAAGAAATCTAAAATATGAACAAGTAATGAAAGGCTATAGAAAAAGAAAACAGGCATATTTGAAAAAGAACCAATTCTATCTATTACTTATACATATACCAATACTACTATGGTAATGAAAATAAATACACTGAAATTAATAGTTTAATGGATAGATTAGACAGCTGAAGAGAGAAACAGTGAACTGGAAAATAAAATTCTGTCATTGTTGAAAACACTGGATGAAGACCACCTTCCAGATCTGAAATTAAGGCCCTTCCGGCCTTGTCCAGGAGCAAGTCCACCCCTCACAGGATGACTGGCAGATGTCAACTCCGACCTCAGACAGCAAAGGTGTCCAAGTCCTGTGCAGGGAGGGAGAGGGAGTGAGCCCCATGGACTCCTCCTGGGAGGGGCGTGGGTTGGCATTGCACCTGGTGAAGCCCCCAGTGCACGGGAGGTCATGGTTAAGGCCAGGTGATCTCTGGTGACCTCCGTGGTGCCCAGGATGTTGGTACACTGTTGGGCACCCACACATGGGGTACCACGCAGAGCAAGGCTGTGGACCAGGAGGTCAGGTCCTCCCCGATCCCCACACTTCAGACACTTGGGTTGAACTACACACACTGCCCCCTGAGTGATGGGTGTGAACGTGACCTTGCTTCCTGACCCACCCCCACTCCGTCCAGGTGGAGGTTTCAGCAGCGCCCCAAGTCAGACTCAGGATCACCATCCCCATGGCTGGCCCAAGCCCTTGTCGGCAGGCAGGCTACGCAGTCAGGCCTGTCTCTGTGTGGCCACCACCCCTTCCTGAGGGACCCCTGAGAAGGGCATGGGCACACACATCTTAGTCTGCGGACATGTGCCGCTGAAACCCAGACCACCACTGGGCTGAGCAGCAGACAGCATGGCGGTGGTGTGCCCTTCCATAAACAGTGGCTGGGAACATGTTCACGTGACACCCACAGTGACCAACACGAGGAGGGAGGGAGCCTCGGCTGAGGGAGACGCTGGGACCCTGGTGGACAGCAGTGGAAATCCCTGAGGCAGAACACAATGTAAGATCAAGAGATAGGGCCTCAGCTGGAACGTGGCCCAGCACCTCTGCCCAGACAGGCCCTCACACACAGAGAGGGCCCTGGCCTGGCCCTGTCGCGTCACCTAGGTCGGCCGCAGGGCCAGGTGGGCCTAGAGTGTCAGGGCTCCGGCTGGGAAAGGCCTTTCCCTCCTGCCCGACGTGCCTGCGCAGGTGACATCACTTCCTCCCGCAAAGCAGGGAGGCAGAGCAGGGCTCTAGAACCTGGCGGGCCGCCCCCCCCCCCCCCCCC